TTGTGTTTTGTGACAGGTGCTGCTGGAATGAAAGATGAAGACTGATCTCAAAAATGCCTTGCGTTGAACATTGAACATACAGTCACACCAAAAAGACATGGTTAAACATGACACATGAAGTGACTATAATTATAATACGACACAGTTCTGAGAGTCCAGTTGCTTTTAGAAATGATTATTACATATTACAAATATCAAGGAAATCACGAGGCATTCAAGAACTTACATAACCTTGTTAATCTGTTATTTACAATTACTGTTTCTTTTATCAGTGATTTGAAAGTCAAAATTATCAAGGCAAAATTTGGGAAAAACTGATGAAAATTTGCACTTATCCATCATATTTTGCTAATATGAGATGCTCCTATTGGAATACAACATTTTATTAAAGTGTCTTTTTTTTTTTAAATATATATGTACAGTAAATAATAATATAATATAACCTCAAGCCCTTATTCAGAATTTGCCCCAACAGACTATTGCTTTTATAATTCTCCCCGTCCTGTTGGTAGAGGTGGGGGTTTAGCCATCATTGCTAAAGAAACCTTTAGATCACGCTGTCGCCTGCTACCCTCCATCAACCCTACAAGCTTTGAAGTTCAGCTACTACTATACTTGACTGGTCTCAACCCATTGTCTCAGCCCTGATATATCGACCACTACATCGAAGTGGATGCTGCACACTGGTGGTGGTTGAGGAGAGACCCCCCATATGATTGTAAAGCGCTTTGGGTGTACAACAATACACAATAAAGCGCTATATAAATGCATCATTCATTCATTCATTCATTCATCTAACGAAAGGTTATTGAAGAATTTTCTGAGTTTGCAGGAGATCTTATCACTACATGTGATCGGATACTTCTTTTAGGTGATTTTAATGTCCATGTATGCTGTCCTTCGAAACAATTAGCATCAGCGTTTTTGAACACCATTGACTCTTTTAATCTGCTGCAATGGGTTAAAAATCCTACTCATACTCAAGGTCCCACTTTGGACTTAATACTGTCTTTTGGTTTGTCTATAATTGATACTGAAGTGATCGAATCTCTCATTTCTGATCATTTTCCTATCATGTTCAAAATGTCTCTCCTTGTAATCCCTCATAAAACTGCCTCTGAGCTAAGACAAACCCGAGTTTATTCACAACGATTCTGTGAGGCCTTTACTGAAATGAAGTCAGATCTTGTGTATCCCTTGAGTCTTTAGTATCTGATCTAGATGTCGAACAACATTTTGAATCTTTAACCACTGCATGGCTGGATATTTTAAATGTTAATATTATTGCACCTTATAGGTTTTTAAAGCCAAAGCGTAAATCTGAGCCTTGGATAGATCAAGATATTCATTCCCTGAGACAATCATGTAGGAAAGCGGAAGAGAGTGGAAAAAAGACAAACTGCAAATATATTTTGATACATTTAAGAACTGTTTATCTTTATACCAGAGAGCTGTCAAGAAAGCAAAGTCTTTCTATTTTTCTAACCTGATTGAGAAACATCACCACACTCCTAGAGTTCTTTTCTCTGTTATAAACTCTGTATTAAATCCTTCTGTAGTCTTTCCAACATCCTACCAGTGCACTCTGTGAAGATTTCTTGAAACGTTTTGGTGACAAAATCACTAACCTGAGAGCTCAATTACAAGTGACTGATGATGAAATGATGACGTTAATGAGTCCATCGGCCACTTGGATGACTTTTAATTCCATCTCACTTCAATATTTTAAGGAAGTAATTACAAAATTAAAAAACACCCCAAGCCCCTGTGATATTATATACCCTCGCTATTTGAAGCAAATAATTTACATTGTAGGACCAGGGCTTGTATCTCTGCTCAATACATGTCTGCAATCAGGGTCTATCCCTGATCGTTTAAAAATGGCCACAGTCACACCAGTGCTAAAGCAACCTTCACTGGATGCTTCTATTCTAGCAAATTTCCGGCCTGTTTCTGTTCTACCTTTCATTTCTAAGGACAAAAACTGTGTTTTTACAACTTCGGTCATTTCTAACTAATAATCACATCAATGAGACATTTCAATCGGGTTTTAAATCACTGCATTGTACTGAAACTGCCCTTGTAAGAGTTCTTAATTATATTCTAATGGCTGTCATTTTATTAATGGCAATTCTGTCATTTTTGTTATGCTGGACCTGTCCTCAGCCTTCGACACTGTTGATCATGAAATTCTCATCTCTCGCCTGGAGTCTTATGTGGGTCTGGGGGGACGGTTTTAAATTGGTTTAAATCTTTCATAACAAACCGAACTTCCTTAGTTAAAATAGGAAACTTCACTTCCTCTTTAGGCAATCTAACCTGTGGTGTTCCTCAGGGATCTGTTTTAGCACCTACTCTTTTTTTT